ATTCAATAATAATTTTTAATTTTAATACTAGTTGGAATGTCTTTCCTTTTTTCTTTCTTTATAGTAATTTATCTTACGATGTAAGGTTGAACTAATTTTTTGCCAAAAACACTGCATTAATTATTATGTTATTAATAATGATTTTTTTTTATTATTATTATTAAACGAAATATACCCTCGCTGACATAGGCCATTGGGTTACACAATTTTAATTTCATTGGGTTGAGATTACATTATTGACAACTATATTATTTACAATTTTCATATTTTATTTTGTACCTAGTTCTGTCTCTGTTATGAACTTGATGATAGCAATAATGATTTATTTTAATAGTTTAATATACATTACACATTATTGTTGTTTCTAATATGGCATTTGAATAATTATTTGGAATTACTATAGTGTTACGAAAAGATTACAAACAAAAATGCTTGGAGAATTGAAAATTGCACGCAAAATCAATTTTTTCACAAAATTGATTTTGTTTTGTACAACTCAAAAACTAACAACATTAGATAACATAGATAATTTCACTTTTTTCATTATTGCTGAGTTACATTTTTATTATTTTCCTTCTTTCCACAAACTCTTGGATTTTTTAAAATCCAGATTTTTTCCATTTAAATTATCTGTCATAGTTAATAGTTATACTCTCTTATACTAGGAGGATGTCATGTACTCATGTGCACTATATGTTTTCTCTCTCTGATCCACATTCAACATAAACAAAAGGCGGGTAAGTCGTGGATGTCGCTCTGCTGTACAGTAGGTTACAAGTGAGTTACTGTAATGGATGGAATTAAATTTGAATCCCATGATATTATATCATTGTATACGAAAAACGATTTTGAACGATGACGGTTTATCTGTCTAGAATATATTATAGATTATTAAAAATTTTCAAATCTTAGATTTAAAAAGAAACATTTTTATGAATTTCTAGTTTAAAATAATTTGAGAATTTTCGTGATTTTTACACTTGTTGTCAAAACTCAAACTTTGAATGCTTATAAAAAAAAATCGTGACTATGTATTTCTTTTATTTTGCAATTGCTATTGTAAAAATATGATAGGATCCTTGTATTAAATTTTCAAATCTTAGAATTCAAAAGAAAAACTTTTATGAATTTCTATCTAAGATAATTTGAACATTGTCGTAATTTTTACGTATTTAGTCAAAATTTGAACTATAAATGCTTATAAAAAAAATCATGACTATGTATTTTTAATATTTTTTAACTGCTATTGTTACAATGTGTTTGAAGCCTTGAATTAAATTTTCAAGCTTTTCTACCGAACACATAAATTTTTATCGATATTTATAGAAAAAAAAACTAAAAAAGTTGAAAAATTAAAATGTCA